CGCCAAAAGTGCCATTTCTTGTACTGTTATTTTCTCCATCTTTCTCCATCCTTTTCTCTTTTGTTGTCGAAACTTATTAGTTTAGGCCACTAATTGTTTCATTTTGCTAAAATGACAAAGTTTAACTCAAATTAATCTTGCTTAGTGTCCAAGAAAGAGAATTTACTGAGTAATTATAGTTTAACGATATTAGTCCAATTTAAGCACCTCACTTCAGGTTTTTTTAAATCACCTAAGTGTTCAATTCTCAAGTCCAAAAGGATAAATTTGAATTCCCTTTGATTTTTTTTTCTATTTCTCTTTCTTTTCTCTAGCTTTCAAGAAGAAAGTTTCTCTTAAACTTTGTCTGCCTTTCTCCATCATTCTCTCTTTGTTGTAGGAACTAATTAGCTTAAGCCACTAATATTTCATTAGCTAAAATGACCAAGTTTAACTGAAATAGCTGTCTGGACCATGTCAATTTCATAAACTTACCACTACTACCTTAAAAAAAAAAAAATTAAAAAAAAAAAAACGATTTGCTACCTTAGTTGCATTCAAAGCATCTTCAATCCTCAAATGTTTATCCTTCAACTCTACTTGTGTTTGTGCTCCTACCTGTTAATCATTTCATTCAATTAAATGCATCAGCCCAGAAGGATACCAGTTTTGAAAACTTTAGATAATGAAGATGCCAGCTACAGTAATTCTCAGTTCACCTGAAGAATGGCAATTCCTCCAGATAAACTTGTTATTCGTTTATTTAGTATAACTAAGTTATGAGTTAATATAATATTGGTTATGATATAAAATCATTTAAGTTCATAACTAGATGTATGGTACATCTAAATGTACCATAGCATCACAACTATAAATAAATAAATAAAAACATCAAAAGTGCTCCACCAATTTTTACAATGCATCCATTACTTTTTATTACTGTTATTTTTTATTGTGTCAAGCATGCAATACAAGTACAAAAAATCTATGGAAGCAGAAGCAGCATTAGGGTTTTCATAACTTTGGTATTGGTATTGGCCTTCTTTTTAACAGGTAGACAACTGCGGATAGATAGTAGCAATGAAGCCATAAAACAGATTAAGGGAATCCAAGAAACAGCCAAGGGAATGTGAGATGCAACAACTATAAAAAACGATGTATAAATACATGCAATTCCCAATTGTTCAAATGCATTTGCCATCTCAGGCAACAAGTTACGAAGCGATTTTCCGTAAAGCAAGGCGATGAAAGAAGCGCAAAGTAAGCACAAGATCGAATACAAAACTCCAAGGGAGGAATCTTTGCCATGTAGTGCCAAGACCATTGTGGTTATGAAAGTGAGAAACGATTTGCCCATCTCCAGCTCACGAAAAGATTTGGCTATTGGGTTTGATAAGTGGGTTTGGGTTTGGGATTCAGATTGAAAGTTTGGTTGTTAGGAGGGTGATGAGATGGGGTGAGAAGGAGTGGATGATGATAATGAAGATGATGAAGAAAAGGCTCACCTGATAGTGAGTTCTCTACTTCGATGGCCTATGATGTGGTTAGAGGTCGCACCTGCCAAAGTGGAGATTGGAAGTGGATTTGGAAACTCAAAATCCCTTCTAAACTCAAAATGTTTATGTGGATTGTGATCAATGAGAAATTACTTACAAACTACATGAAAGTGTCTAAGGGACTCTCTTACAACTCTACCTACCCCAATTGTACAGATGTGAAGATTTGGATCACTTGTTTAGAGGATGTATTAAAGCTAGAGATACATGGGCAGCTAATTTCGGAAAGGAGTGGTACTCTTGTTCTTTAGATGAGCCTTTGAGGGATTGGATCAAAAGTAACTCCAAGAAAAAATCATCCTTGAATCATCAACTGTCTTGGTTTGTTGTGTTTATTACATCTCTTTGGACCATTTGGAAAAACTGTAACAAAATGATTTTTGAGAACAAAACCACAAACATAGTGTCAAAACCATTTTTGATTACTCTAATAAAATCCTTCATGTTTTCAGAATGAGTATCAGTTCTTCAAAAAATTCCAGTCTAACTATGTGGTCTTGTCCCATTGCAGGAATAATCAAGCTTAATACGGATGGGAGCATCAAAGGGAACTCTGCCCATGGCGGCTTCAGGGTGTTGTTCCGTGATGAAAAGGGAGCTTAGGTCAGTGGTTACTATGTGAGAGGGTAATTTATATGTAAATTGGGCCGAGCTGAGTAATAGGCCATTCTGTGGGCCATAGTAAGGACTGAGTAAAAGGGCCTTGAAGTTAGCCCGGTCCAAAAGAGCTTTATAGTTAGCTCGGTTGACATGGTCAGAGCGGCGACAGTTAGTTCGGTCAAACCATATTAAGCCGAGGTATTTTTGGCCTTCTCTCAGGACCTTGTTATTGAATAGCTCGGTCTAGGCACACTATGGATAGCGCGGTCTCAACAGGTGAAACCGAAGCACAAGTAACAGAGGAGAAAACCGAGCTAGCTAGAGCTCGGTCATTTCAGCCAGTTTAGCATGGCTGTTTTATCTCGGTCGTTTTGTCATACCACTGAGGTAAAACCATCTCACTTGGTTTAAGCAGTGAGGGAGGTGTTGAAGGATAAGCATTACCTTTCAGGAGTGTGATTCCTAGGAGGACTCTGCATGGAGGAATAAGAGTCCTACTAGGATTGTGCCACGCGGAACCTATAAAAGCTCATAACATCACCAATGGAGAGGTAACACAACTTTGATTCTCAAATACACAGAGCTTTTGTCTATTTGTCTATTTTTGCTGACTTAGGCATCGGAGAGGTATCCGACACACACCCGCCAGCTAGCTCACGTTTGCGTTTTCAGAGAGTAAAGCGACGACGTTTAGAGGAGCACAGACTTGATCAACAGGATTATACGAGAAGATTATTTCTTGCTCGCACAATTGGCGCCGTCTGTGGGAATCACAGAAAGAACAAAACCTCTTGATCAAAGTTTTCCTCGCTAGATTAGACGCAATGGCGCACAATGAAGATTTGTCGCAGTCCACCATTGACGGGCAAACCCCAGAGGGAGGTGGGAGGCGCGAAGGTTTGCCTTCTATTCCTCCCATGGCAGATTTAGAGCCCCAGTGACAGAACCCCTGGAGGGATGCAAGAGGGAGGCGGGGTAACAGCCCCTGTCGCTCATCAAGCCCTGATAGGCAGAGGCGGAGGATCGACCCTCAAGTTTTGGAGGATCGGGTAAAGGAGCAGGACGAGTTAATCAGGACGATGGCGGCGGACATGGAATTGATGAAGCGCCAGATAAAAGGGAAGGGGGTGGCGACATGAGAGGGGCGCAAAAGCAATACGCCTCCTTGCTACTCAGAAGATCGTGGTAGGCATACCACGCCATCGCAAGCAGAGAGTAGGAGCCTCAGAACAGGCAACACTCAATCAAGGACTTCCAGGACTTGTTACTCCAGGCCTGAGAGAATGAGAACATTGAGGTCTTACACTGAGGGAAGCACCAGACATCATCCAGACAAACGAAGTTGCCTAGATCGTCCGACTTACGGACTGTGCTTGAAGAAAGGGCACGACGGAAGGAGGATGCTAGGGCATGCGACCCGCGCAGAGTTTCAGCCCTTTAGCGGTTGGCTCCTCGGATGCATGGAAGCGTCGAGGTAGGAATGCCAATACCGCACCTTGCCTACGAACCAACAGATAAAGCATTGGCAAGGCTACATAACTCACCGTTCGTTGTGGCGATTGAGAACGCACCATTACCTTTAGGCTTCATCCAGCCGAAATTTACGACTTACGAGGAGAAGATAGACCCTTACATGCACCTAAGCCACTTTTGCCAGGTCATGACAGAACGAGGCTTTGATGTGCATTCTATTTCCATCCAGCCTTGGCGACCTAGGTTTAACCTGGTTCGAAAGACTACCAGAAGGCAGCATAGCCTCCTGGGCGCAATTAGCGGAGGCGTTCGTTACAAGGTTCAGAACGAATAACAAGACGCCAGTAGAGATCGATCAGCTACTCTCCATTGACATGGGCGACAAGGAGACGTTGAGATCCTACAACAGTCGTTATTAAGAGACCTTCAACCAGATAGGAGATTGCCCCACAAATCTCGCCATCGCGCAATACAAAAGAGGTCTTCCAGTCGGAAACAGGCTGAGGGACTCAATTACCATGACGCCCCCCCTCACAATGGAAGCCTTAATAGAGAGGGTACACCAGCACATTCGGGTAGAGGAGGATAGCGCCCGTGCTAAAACGAAGTATGGTACAACCGCAATACCAGATAAAAAGACTTCGGCAAAAGTCAACGCGATAGAACGTCTAAGCAGAAACGGGCGAGGCAAGCGGGACAACGGAGAGGACCACGATAAAAGGTGGTTGAGAGTACGCTCTGCCATTACCATGGTGTTCAAAAAACCGATCTATCGGATTCTCAGTGAGATACGTGATGAACCTTTCGGATTCTCAGTGAGGTCAGTGGTTACTATGGAAGATTGAAGAGTTGCATAAGCGTGAAAGCAGAACTCTGGGCTGTGTATAAGGGACTTACCATAATTCTTCAAAGAGGCATGCACAAAGTTGTATAAACAAATGCGAAGCAGAGTGTCCAACTCATAGAAGATGGTCCCAATGAGAAGTGCCCTTTCAAAGGATTGGTAGAAGATGCTCGAATAATTTTTAGGGGTGCGTAATCATTTCAATGGATTTAAAAAACTTGCTTCTTTTTTTTCTTTTCTTTTTGTGTGTGTGTGGGGGGGGTGTTATATTTTGTTTCATTTGGTATTTTGTGATGTAATTTAGTGTAATGGTTGCAGTGGTACATTTCATACTTGAGAATACAAATAAAGATGGTTGCAATTGTGTTGGTATATGATTAATAATATATTTGGTACTGCCTAAGAATACGTTTTGTTTCATTTGTTCTATGATACGTTTTGTTTCATTTGATATTTTTTGTTTCCTCTATATTTCCAACCCTTTGCCCACTACAATCCACAAGCAATAAACTTGATTTGTAAATAAAACGGTGCAGATTTTTTTAAGAGAATAAAAATTACAAAAGGAAAAGAAAATAAAAGATTACCCAAATAAAAATTTCACCGGAGGAAAGGACCAATTGGCCAAAAGGCAACATAGCAATTAACATACACAACAAGTAACCAGACCAAAAACAACAACACCTAAACATTAATTCTAACAAACCAAAAACTAATTAGCTCAGTTGAATTCCCATCCATCAATACTTAGGGGTCGTTTGGCTAGAGATTTTTGACTAAAAAATCACAAAAAAACAAAATAGGCTATATAAGCCAATAAGATAAAATACTACTTTTTACCCATAATCATTACACTTTTTTCCTCATAAAAGTCAAAAAAGTCAAACTAAACGAGGCTAAAAAAGTCTCAATACAAAAAAGTCAACTAAAAAAGCCAATGCCAAACGAAGGCTAGTAGCCAATCTCTAATAGTTTAAAGCATCAAGCATTTTCTTTTTCTTGCGCCCAAATCGCCACCTAATTGTTGACTTGTCTCCAAACCTCCAGTTATATCACTAGTGTTTAGATTAATAACCTGACAAATAACAAATAAAAATGAAGTCCACAAGGATCAATTTAAGAATAATAGTCTATTTATTGAAAACCAATTAAGTCAGAAGGAAAATTTTAGTTTGCAAAAAAAATTCTTCAAGATAATTTTATATTAAGATTATCTCTCAAGACATTTATCAAACAGTTGGCTTGCAACAAAAAGAGGAGTTGGGAAATTAGAATAGCATTAACACCAAATTAGATAAAAGCAGCAAAACTGAATTGAGGATCATTTAGGTGCCGTTTGGTAACACTTACGTTTTCAGTTTTCTGTTTATATTTACAAAAATTTTAAAAACTCAAATAAAAACTTGTTTAGTAAAATTTTTGATTTATAAATCAGTGGTCTGAGTTTATAAATTTGGCAAAAAAATGTGTTTCCATTTTGAGTTTTGAGTGTTTCTTTTTTTACCACCTAACACTAGCCACCACCCGCCACCATTTTCTACCACCATCTTCCGCCACCACCACCCACTCCCCACCACCACCTGCTACCACCACCTGCCACCACCACTCACCACTCACCCGCTACCACCACCCGCTATTGCCACCCATCACCTACTTGCCACCCACTCGCCACCACCACCTACCCCCGACACCACCACCACCACCCACTTGCCGCACACCCACCATCACTCATCACCCGCCACCATAGACGCTCCTATACTTACA